TATCCGTGGGTGAGAGTCACACGTGATTTATCAACATTGGCCAAACCACACTCAATATTGGACATGGATTGTCTGCCCTCCCACTTCCCGTGCCTCCTGTTTTGTGTGGTCACGGTTAAGCCATGTCAACATTTTATATATTTTTTTTATAGAAATAATAAGACAAAAATGAATAGTAATATAAAATGTTGACGTGGCTTAACCGTGATCACACAAACAGACCTCCCACTTCCCGTGCTCTCCTGTTTTGTGTGGTCACGGTTAAGTCACTTCAACATTTTATATTGTTTTTTTTTATAGAAATACAAACAACAACAACAACAACAAAGCCTTTTCCCACTAAGTGGGGTCGGCTATATGAATCCTAGAACGCCATTGCGCTCGGTTTTGTGTCATGTCATCCGTTAGATCCAAGTACTCAAGTCTTTTCTTAGGGTCTCTTCCAAATTTTTCCTAGCTCTTCCTCTACCCCTTCGGCCCTGAACCTCTGTCCCGTAGTCACATTTTCGAACTAGAGCGTCAGTAGGCCTTCTTTGCACATGTCCAAACCACCAGAACCGATTTTCTCTCATATTCCTTCAATTTTGGCTACTCCTACTTTACCTCGGATATCCTCATTCCCAATCTTATCCTTTCTCGTGTGCCCATACATCCCACGAAGCATCCTTATCTCCGCTACACCCAATTTGTGTACGTGTTGATGCTTCACCGCCCAACATTCTGTGCCATACAACATCGCTGGCCTTATTGCCGTCCTATAAAATTTTTCCTTGAGCTTCAGTGGCCTACGACGGTCACACAACACGCCGGATGCACTCTTACACTTCATCCATCCAGCTTGTATTCTATGGTTGAGATCTCCATCTAATTCTCCGTTCTCTTGCAAGATAGATCCTAGGTAGCGAAAACGGTCACTTTTTGTGATCTTCGCTAGATTGCTCCGGTCATTAGTGTGGATAAGTATATAAATGGATAGAAATAGGAAAGCAAACACAAGATGTACGTGGTTTACCCAGATTGGCTACGTCCACGGAATAGAGGAGTTCTCATTAATTGTGAAGGGTTTACACAAGTACATAGGTTCAAGCTCCCATTTAGTGAGTACAAGTGAATGATTTAGTACAAATGACATTAGGAAATATTGTGGGAGAATGATCTCGTAACCACGAAACTTCTAAGTACCGGAGTGTGGTATCGTCTTGACTTGCCTTATCTGTCTCATAGGTAGATGTGGCATCTTCTCTGGAAGTACTCTTCCTCCATCCATGGGTGGTATCTGTAACTGGTGGAGATGCACAAGGTAATGTATCAATTTCACTTGAAGCTTACTTGTAATTTCAGGCTTGGTCAAGCGCGATACAAACCATGTAGTAGGAGTCCCCCAAGTCGCCGAGCTAGGGGATCTGTTGAAAGAGGTGACAGACAAGGTAAGCAATCAGAGCTTCGGCTGATTGTTCCCATTCTCCCTATCTTGCAGGCAGCATGAAGGATAAAGAGAAGAAAAATGAGAAGAGGCGATATGGGATACTTTTGCTTTTGAAGAAGTAACTTTCCACAGGCTTATTCTTGAACTGGGCTGGAGGGTTTTCTGGTTTCCTCCAGAGTATAAGGCCGACTGAAGAATTTGAGGGTCAAAACAAGTCCATTAAATCTAGAGTACGTTCGACCCTGCTGATATGAGATACTTTTGCTTTTGACAGAGTAGTGGATGTATCGGCACGTGTGCTGTTACGCTTGTCTCCACATGCTTCCTTGTATCCTTCTCACTTGCCCTATCTGTTCCTCAAGCAGATGTGGTATCTTCCCTGGAAGCATAAGATGTTGAAGATGAGTACTCGAGAGCAATGCCAGGTAAGTAATCAGGTAAGGGGTTCCAGGCAGTCAGTTCCTGGCTGGAAGCTTGATTCCAAGTGCTGACTGATTGCTCTCTTTCTCCTTGTCTTGCAGGTAAGAACAAGGCCAAAGGAAAAGACAGGGAAAAAGCATGATATGGGATACTCTTGCTTTTAACCCTGATGATATGAGATATTCTTGCTCTAGTATAGCTTGTTTACAGAGGTATTATCGGGGGGAAAGAAAGCTGAATATTTCGAAAGGCTTCATTGGGAGTGCCCTCTCAGATAAGAGGAATGGTTGAGCATTTTTGCAGGTCTGCCTGTCCGTTGGGGATGGAGGTCGACATATATAGGAGTCTCCCTAACATCAAGTAATAATGATATTCCTTTACCCTGCTTGGTCATAGCACGGTAGTGGGAGCTGCCAGCTTCACATGTTTTAACTCTGTCAGAGCACTTTGAAAAAGTGGTCTGTGGTATCTGGAAAGCTGATGTTGCGTGTGAAGATTACAGACAAGCTTTATCCAAGGAGATCCAGCTCTTGAAGTTGGGAAAGTGGTGCCTCTTCGGTTTTCGAACAAGCAATCATGTCGGGGATCTGGCTCTCGAGATTCGGAGAACGATGCCTCTTCGATTTTTGAGAAATCAATCCTGCTTGTCTACCTTACCACGAAGCACAGAGGTTGACACACAAGGACTTTCCAATTATCCAGCAGTGGTACTGTTCCTTTACCATCTCTTCGATTTTTGAGAAAGTAATCATGTTGGGAGTTTGGCTCTCGAGATTCGGAGGACGGTGCCTCTTCGATTTTGGAGCAAGCAATCTTGTTGGGAGTTTTCTCGAATGTGAGTAAAGGTTGGGCATGTTTGCTAGTCTACCTTGCCACGAAGCACAGAGGTTGACACACAGGGACTTTCCAATTATCCAGCAGTGGTACTGTTCCTTTACCCTCTCTTCGATTTTTGAGAAAGTAATCATGTTGGGAGTCTGGCTCTCGAGATTCGGAGGGTGGTGCCTCTTCGATTTTGGAGCAAGCAATCTTGTTAGGAGTGTTTTCTCGAATGTGAGTAAAGGTTGGGCTTGTTTGCTAGTCTACCTTGCCACGAAGCACAGAGGTTGACACACCGGGACTTTCCAATTATCCAGCAATGGTACTGTCCCTTTACCCTTGTAGGTAATAATATGGTAGCTAGACCTTCAAAATTTATGTGTCTAAACTTTGTTAGTGTTGTTTCTTTGCTATTCTTTTACCCTTCTTGGTCAGAGCGATGTAGTGGGAGCTGCAAGCTTCACGTGTCTCAACTTTGTCAGAGAACTTTGGCAAAGTTATATGTGGTACCCGTGAGCTACTGTTGCGTGTGGGAAGTGGGTGATTGAACAGTACGATTCATGTGCTTTCTACTTCGCCAGAAATCTTCGACAGAATGCCCATAATTTCCGCAAAGTTGAGTGTGCGTGTGACAGGTGCTGACAAGGCTGGAAAAGTAGGTGCCTCTTCGATTTCTGAGATCGGCCCTCGTGGTCTCTGAGCAGCCCAGCTTTTGAGAAACCAAGCCTTTTCGATTTCTGAGATCGGCCTTCGTGGTCTTTGAGCAGCCCAGCTTTTGAGAAAGCAAACGCCTCTTCGATTTCTGAGATCGACCCTCGTGGTCTCTAAGCAGCCCAGCTTTTGAGAAAGCAAACGCCTCTTCGATTTCTGAGCAGGCGCCTCTTCGATTTCTGAAGCTTCGTCGAGTGCAGATTTTTATAGGGGCTGACATTAAGTTCCAAAGCACACTTGAATATCACCCAGTAGAAGCTCCATTCTTGCACTTCTAAGATCTTGATTTGTTCGACCTCTTCTCTCTTCAACACCTTTGAAAATGTCTGGCCCCTCCGACCGTCGTTTTAACTTGAACCTTGTTGAAGAGGCAGCCCCGCATTCTCCAGACAACATATGGCGCCCATTATTCGTCTCCCCTACTGGTCCTCTTACCGTTGGGGATTCCGTGATGAAGAATGATATGACCGCTGCGGTAGTGGTCAGGAACCTTCTCACTCCCAAAGATAACAGACTACTTTCCAAACGGTCTGATGAGTTGGCTGTTAAGGATTCTCTGGCTCTCAGTGTTCAGTGTGCAGGTTCTATGTCTAATATGGCCCAACGCCTATTTGCTCGAACCCGCCAAGTTGAATCATTGGCGGCTGAAGTGATGAGTCTCAAACAGGAGATTAGAGGGCTCAAGCATGAGAATAAACAGTTGCACCGGCTCGCATATGACTATGCTATAAACATGAAGAGAAAGCTTGACCAGATGAAAGAATCTGATGGTCAGGTTTTACTTGATCATCAGAGATTTGTGGGTTTGTTCCAAAGGCATTTATTGCATTCGTCTTCTGGGGCTGTACCGCGTAATGAAGCTCCAAATGATCAACCTCTGATGCCTCATCCTTCTAGGGTTCTGTCCAGTACTGAGGCTCCGACTGATCCCCCTCCGGTGCCTTCTCTTTCTGGGGCTCTACCGACTGCTGAGACTTCTCCTAAGCAACCTTTGTAAAGGCTCCCTCTTGTTTGTTTATTTTGACTCAAGTATATGTACATATTTGTAACTTATCGGGGATATCAATAAATAAGCTTTCCTTCATTTCAACGTATTGTGTTAAATACACCAAAGCTTTATTCGCTAAGTTCTTTGAATTTTCTTTTGTTGAAGCTTTGTGAGTGGAGCATGTAGGTTGAGGTAGTGTTCCCTTAATTTCCCGAGAACTTTGGCAAAGTTATCTGTGGTACCCATGAGCTACTGTTGCGTGTGGGAAGTGGGTGATTGAACAGTACGATTCATGTGCTTTCTACTTCGCCAGAAATCTTCGACAGAATGCTCATAATTTGACGTGGCTTAACCGTGATCACACAAACAGCCCTCCCACTTCTCGTGCCCTCCTGTTTTGTGTGGTCACGGTTAAGCCACGTCAACATTTTATATTGTTTTTTTATAGAAATAATAAGACAAAAATGAATAGTAATATAAAATATTGACGTGACTTAACCGTGATCACACAAACAGAAAAGCCGCAGAAGTAAGATGGCCGACAATCCTTGTCCTTCAATATTTCAACAGAGGTATCATTTTTTCAAGCAAACACACATCATTAAAAAGGGTAAAGCGGCATTCTTATTTAACCCAAACTCGTAAACAGTATCTTCCCTCCCTCTCTCTCTCTCTCTCTCTCTCTCTCTCTCTCTCTCTCCCTAAATCCAACAGATCACAGTACTGCTTTACACTTTACCGGGATCTGGGTCTCATTGATTTCGGCAAAAAAGCAGAGGTTGTCTTTCACACACCCACAGAGATCGAAATTCCACCTGAAACAAAAGTGGGCATCTTTGATTGGATATTGTCCAAGTTTTGCACACATTCCCAGACACCACCAATTAAAGGTCGAAGCTTTATTGAAATCCTCAATTGGGTTTTTGACATCTGATCTTGGGCAACCTGCATTTTCAGAATCAAACCAAATTTGGGTTTTGTTTTTGGAAACTGATGGCTCATCCGACAAAACATGGGATTTGCAGTAATGGTGTTCTGAGGCTGGTTTTTGTGTTAGTAGGTTTGTGCCTGGTCGGGTACGCAGTCGTACATCCAACGTTGTACTGGAGCTTTAAGGAGCACAGTTCGTGTCCGCAATGTCCTTGTGATTGTTCAACGGATTTCGCTTCCGCACCTGTAGGTGAGATTCACTTCCCGAATGTAGAAATGTTCCTATTTTTAGTAGAACACATGATGTCACTCGATTTGGTTTTGCAGAGCAAATTGTAGAGTAGTCTTGATATCGAGTCGTTCTACAGTATACTGGTGTATGTGATAAATTGTTTCATGAACAGTTAGATTGAAATGTTTAGATTAAAACACGCAAGTCCAGCCATCACTAAAGATTACACCGAAGCACTATAGATTTACGCTGATTATATTGGAATTTATTTTGGAAATATTTCATAAATTAACCTTTGTTTTCATTTCTTACTTAACCAGATATTATCAATAGCTCAATTTCAGGTCAGTTTAACAACCTATCATAGTCATGCATCCATTTGTGTGAAAATTTAGTTATCTGTGATGCCACTGTAGTCGTATCTGAAGTCAATCACCGTTGTCACTTGGTAAAGTGAAAACTCATGAAAGTGCATGATTGGCTTGTAAAGTCGTCACAGTAGCATCACCGTTGTAGGTAACTTTCTCTCGTGTTTCAGATGAAGAACATTGTCAATGTCATATCTTCTACTGTATTGCAGACTGCGGAAAACATGAACCAGAAATGAAAGAGGAGATGGAGAAGGACATCATCGCCTTGATGTCGGAAGAGCTAAGTTTGCAGCAAGCCGTAGCCAACGAAACCCTGCAACGGGCCGATGCAGCGTTAATGGGAGTTAGGAAAGTCTCTTCACTCTTCCAAAAGGAGGCAGAAAAATGTAATGTAGGAGTGGAAACTTGTGAAGAAGCGAGGGAGAGGGCAGAAGCAGAACTTGCAGAAGAGCTTAGGCTTTCGGAAGTATGGGAGAAACGAGCTCAGGAGCTCGGGTGGAACGATAAAAGAGCATACTCTTGAATGACGTCATCATGAAATTTTCGTATAACCTTTTTCGTTAGTTGTGGATACGAATTTTCTACTAACGTTTCATCGTTTTGAGAATGAATTCATATTATCCATCATTGTCCAAAATTTTGAATGCCATTAAGAAAGTAGTGGCAAGAAGAAATTGTACACAAAAGTGCAAAAATAAATGCGAAAAAATGCGCTTTGTATACAATTGAAGAGAAAAATGCGAAAAAACACACAAAAGCGTTCTTTCGCTTGTTAGATCTCAGTAATATCTTGAATATTGTGGTGAATATGTTTTGTATGAGTAAATAAATCGATCACGAACTGTTTGGCTCTACAATTAACCCATTCAAGCATACCTAGGAAGCTGGCATCTTCAGGTTAGATATAAACTATCTAAGACTGCAAATCCAGCTGCAACTCCACCTTCATCTGATGATGAAATCTTTGTCCGCATCAGGTAGCCGCATTGATCGTTCAAGATCACTTTATCTTTGTTCCTGCATCAATGAAAAATGTGGCACTATGATTCCACGCTTTGGTACAGCTGTTATTCGCACAGTATAAACAATGCCGACAAAGTGGATTGTACCTGTGCAAATAAAGAGAAGGAAAAAAAGGAAACAACAGAAACCTGAAGATTTAGGGCTGGTTTGGTATTGCTGTGCTTTGAAAAAAAATTGCTGTGAGAATAAGCGGCTGTGAAATAAATCAGCAGAGCGTTTGGTAAACTTTTTTGTAAAAGTGCTTTTGGAAAAAAAAGCAGTCTGATAGTGGGTCTTTTCATTAAAGGAGCACTATAGCTCCGTGTGCTTTGAAAAAAAGCCAATTTTCCAAAGCTGCAAATAGCAGCTTTAGCTTTTTCCTTTGATTTCAGCTTATTCTCACAGCAGCTTCCACAATAAGCCATTTTTTTTCAGTTTACCAAACACCTAAAACCCTCATAGCTTTTTTTCACAGGTGCTTTTTTTTTAAGCACCTCACTCCCAAACTAGGTCTTAGTCATAAAAGTTGTATACCTTAAGTAAGCACCGTATACCCCCAGCTCAGATATGGTATCATCTTTATAACATACACCCTCGCGCATCAAGAATGTGTGAGAAGTAGGGAATATCCTCTGCATTAGGATATAAGCAGCATCTGCTTCTGATCCTTCCTTCTGCAATCTTGTGAGGGCTTCCCTTACATCATTGCCGTAGATGTTGTTCCCTGAAGTGTAACAATGACTCGTTAATAACACTTGTCATTACAACGACAGCAGTGCAAAGTTTAAACCACTTACCTCCGCCTTCTCTTTGGGGCTTCATAACAAATAACCCAGGGCTCTCTATTGCCTTTTTGACAATATCCGAGTCATCCAAACTCCACAATCCTGCAAAGCATTTCCGCAATTTTGCAATGTCTTCTTTATCATCAAGGAACCTGCTCACATGAAGATGATAGAAAGATATGACGTTACTGGTTGTAACAATGGTAACCATTCTTCCCTAAAATTATGATTCATACAATGCCGAGGAAAAAAATGGACGGAGTTTTGATCCAGCAATACCTCTCAAGAACATTAGGCTTTGCAAGTTCTTGTTGAATCTTTTTGGTCCCGACCAAGTGATAAGAAATTGAGGGGCACTTGATGGCAGATGACTGCTCCATAAGAAGCCTTGCTCTCCACTCCTATAAATTGAGGAACATGGTATTAAAAGCCATATCATCATATTCTGAGGTTATATTAGGAAATTGAAGTATCATTTTCCTTTTATGAGTAATGCGTTAAGTACTATCTTAAGCATATTTTCAAAGCAACAAAGAACCGTAATGGGCAATTACAAGTTTTACACGGCCAAGATAGATGCATAGAAATTATTCAATTCAGGTTTAGATAAAATAAAGACACAAGCAAGCAGACGTGGTCGCTATGCCCTTACATACCAAAAAATAAATAAAATGCAGGATTAGCCAACCAAATTCATCCCCGAACAGACATTGGATAAATACATATGACTACGTATTAGAAATTTGGTCATCTACTTTTTACGGATTAGAAATTTGGTCATCTACTTTGTACCCTTATTGTGGATAAGTAACTACATTTTCTGCTAATGAACAACTGATGTTCACAACTAAAAGGAAGAATGTTCCATTATTCTTGAAACAGAATTAGTATTTGAGTAGCAGGAAAGTGTAAGACTTGCTTACTGATTCAGAAGGATAATTGATTGGTGCATACCCAACTCTGAAATAAACAATTGCAACTTCATGGCTACCCCTGCAAGTTCGAAGCTTTTTTAGATATCAAAATCACAGATATAACATGCTAGATCCACAAATCTAGAAGGGTACATACACAACGAGTGTTCCATCTGGTTGAAGCTTCCCCTCTGCATCAATTTCGGCCAACGTTCTCCGAAGAGTTGATACATTATGTGTGTTATACAGTAAAGGAACATTATTCATGAGTTCTGTTAACTAGTTTATTATCAAAGATATAAGCATATATTGGATAATTATATATCTTCCGAGAAATACCACTTTCTCCAACTTGAAAGCTTGTTTAGAGTTAAAAAGGATATCTTTCTTTCAACAGAGCAGAAAGCCAGTGTTGGTCATACATGTTCCGCTCTTCAGGCTGAACCACGAGCAGGATTACAGCCCTGTACGTATATGTTGAGTTAAAAGCTCCCTTAATCGCTTCACTGAGTATAGCAGCCGCAGAAGGAAACAAATGAAATATTGTTTCAGTTCTAACCTGGGGTTATTGTATTCACTCCAAGCTTTAGCCAAAGCCTCTACAAACTTAGTGGCTGCAGGATTATTTGGAACTCTTTTGGAATCTAATCCAAGAGATTCTCCATAGTGATTAAGTAAACTCCTGGAAAATGAGAGGCTAATTGTAAATAATTGGTAATCTTGGGCTTAATCTTTTGGCATTGGAAATATGAGAATATTAACAGATACACACACAACCACATATACAGGAAAAATTTCATTAGTTGAACCTAGCATTACATTGACTAGTCAGAAATTCATAAACAAACCACTGAATACATGTTATTTGCAAAATATCCAATTAGTTATAAGTTAACCTGTGAAGGTCGCTGACAAGACAACCAAGTCCCGGAAATGAAGCTGAAATTGTGTTCATCTCTATTTGAAGGAGTTGTTTAGTTTCTTCATCAAGCATATAATCTGAGCGATGTAAACCCAAGCGTATGTCCTGTTTCAGTGATTAAAAAAAGTTTAGAGACATTCAACTCATTCTACGAAAATAAAGTTCTCCTCTCACAATAATTGATGTCCAAATGCTATATTGATATATAGTTTTACCTCTTTCTTGTTAATCTCTAGCATCTTGGAATGAATATCTAGAAGTCTGGATGTAAAAGCATCCACTTTCTTCGTTCTGCGATGTGAAGATTATGATTATATTAAATCAGGAATAAGCTCTAATCTCTTGAGCCAATAGATAAACACTACAACCGTCATGTAAGTTGATTTTCTCTCTTATCCCCATACACAATTGTTAAAGTTCAAACTAAGGTTGTTAGGGCCAAGTTTCTCCCGAGCTGGGGAGACACATAAAAGGGTTTGGCTGCGCTAACCCGCATTCTTATGTGATACACCAAAGTCAATCAAACAGGCTTTCCGACTATTCCTAGGTTCATTTAAGCTAAACTGTCAGCTTCCTCATTTTCCAAATCACACGCTTAATCTAAAAGGTGTGAGCAAAAGTACCTGGACAGTGAATCCTGCAGAAACTTTGCATCCAAACTCACTCGATCGACAAGTTCATTAAATATGGGGGCTAACTCATATGCTTGCTTCCAATGGCATTCTGGAAATAGCATCGGAAATAAAGCAAACGGTGCATGTACCATGCCTACACCAGGTACCTTTCCTGATCTCTGTAATTTACAGCATTCAATATCAACATCAAATATAAGGCTTTAAGCTATACCTTTACATAATTATTGCAGATTAAATGTTTCCCATAGCTTGTGGCAACTAAAAGCTTTTAAATTTGATAAAAAAAAACTAGAGTGCTTTTGCACACACAACTACAAAAAACAAATATAAATTCCACGAAAAAAATTAGAAGTAAATAAACTAAAACTAAATTGAATTCTCAGATATCTGAATCCAATTTTCTACAATACATGCTGATCAAATTTTCCATTTTTCAACAAGCTAAGCACTTCTCAGACAATTTAAAACTAAAACTAAGACAGAAAACCTTCAATTTTTCATAGTTTTTTTGTTCGTTCCAATCCGTTCAAAACCAGACAAAGATTCAGGAGAGCAAGAACACCCACAAACCTGAACAGACTTGTCACCAACAAGAAGCCCATGAAGAGAGCTCCAAACAAGAGCATCATACACCATCTTCTCCACCAGCCCCTCATCAATCCCATGAAAATCAATCATGGGTCCTTTGGAAACTCCCTCCTGGGTCTCCCCAACTTCAACTTTCCCACCCAAAACCTGAGAGGGTTTCTGGGACATGATCCTCAGATGGGTCTGGGGGATTTGGTTTGTGGAATGGAATTTGAAACAGGGATTTGGGAATCTGGATGGATGAAAGGCAGAGGCTTTGGGGTGTGAGAGGAGGAGGGAGTGAGTTGAGAGTGTGGTGGAATGATAGCACGAAGAATATGAAGTGCCCATGTTTGACCCCCTTTGGGTGGTGGCCTTAAAGGTGGCTTCAAAATCATAGAACCTGGGATGCATCGCATGCCCGCCATGCCTTTTTCCCAAGAATATATCCAAATTCAATGTTAAACCTTTCTTATTTTTTTAAAAAAAATTAATGAAAATAGTTTGAAAATTTTAAAATTTAACTATAAGAATAAAATAAAGAATAAAATAAATAGTATTATAATTGATTTTTTAGTATAAAAATATGATTTTTAGTATAAAAATGTGATTTTTCGTTAAAATAAACAGTACCGATAACTTTTCATTAAAATTCCTTATTTTTTAATGTTTATTGTTTAATTTAAGGTTTTATACTTATGGGCTGCAGGTAGTTGTATTCTCGTTCCCACCAATCTTGTTCATCGTCACGATAATAATTGATTATAATTTTTTGTTATAATTAATTTCACAAATGATTCTT